CTCTATATTCGTGAACCCATTTTTATTTTTTATGTTTTTTAATTAAATATACTTTGTAATGTCATTTGAAACAAAATATAAAAAATTACCATATTTTTGAATATAGAAATTAAATAATAAATATACTCTATTAAATGAAAAACAAAGACTTTCCATATTTTTTCTCTATATCATTTCCTATTTTAATAATGTTTTGTTATTTGTAATGGCATATCAGGTAATGTTTTACAAAATAAAGGTTATTTTGTTAAATGTCTACTTAAATAATAATATAGAGATTATTATTTTTTGATGTTATAACTTAGGTGAATTTGATGAAATAGTAAAACTTGAAAGTTAAGGAGTTCTTTTTAAAATATACTTGTGTAAATTGAGTAAATACGACCCTAGCGCAATGTTTTTGTTGTCCAAACATGATGCCGGTAACAAAAAGGAAATATGAATATATTATGCTTTGTTACAGATTATTCAATTTCTAACAGAAATACAAAGGTAAAATCGGGTCAAAATCCACATTGTGGTGTGCAGAGATCATGCAGCGGCAGCCTCACATCTTTTGGATCAATTTTTAACTCTTTCTCAACTCCGTCTTTGAAGAATCGTTCATGAACTTCCTTGAGAACTTTCAAAACATTCGCCAACGATCCATCCTTATGACTCTCGTCTCTCTTCTCCTCTGCATAAGATTTCGAGTACTCCACATCGCTTCTTGTTTTATCTCTAAAATATTTGTACTTGGTGATCTCTAGCAAGTTCCTCTTATGATCAGGCCAGACTTGTGGAGTATCATCCACAATCACAACTCCACACTCATCAGCTAACACAAGATCAAGCGTCTTTACATAAGGACTCTCTTCTCTGGTTATGACTCGATCTCCAAAATAAACTCTCTTGGGATCAATCAGCTTCAAAACGGTCTTTGCATAATCACGACTACCCATCGTGTAAACATACATGTTGAACATCTCGTTGGCTTCTTTAAGAAACTCTTGAAGAAAAGGTCTTAGCTTTATTAAAAACTCGCTCGAGTGGCCGCCGTTAAACCTCCATAGATCTTCTCTTGAACCAACTTCTCCGATTATGTACTTTTCTTCTTCGGAAAGCATCGAAACCATAACGGTGTGGAGAAGCGTGTGGTCCAAGTCAAGTACCAAGTGAAGTTTCTTGTCGTTGAGACAAGTGACGTGTGTTGTGAGTAGCTTCGTAACCGCAATGGCTTCGTGGCTTAACTGTAAACCGTCGACCAGATAGTCGAATGCTCGGCCTTCATGTTTCCCTACCGTGGATCTACAATTGCAACAGATTCCGTAACGAACGAAGAAGTGACCACAATTAGTAGAAGAAGACGACGACGAATAGTTAGTCTCTTGTTGGAGCTTTCGCCTTTTGGATTGTGGTTCTAGTGAATGATTTTGAATTAAAGACATATTGTTGATTTGGTTGATTCGCTGATGAATAAAGCTTCGGATGGAGAAAGGGAACCCAAAATCTATCGATAGAAACCCTAGAGAGAAAGAGTCGCCTGTGATAATGATTGGAACATGTATTTGAGTGATGCCTTGTATCTATTTATAAAGAAAAAATGGAAACGCTCACGAGATTTCCTTTTTGAAAGTTGACTAACACGAGATTTCCTTTTTTGAAAGTTGACTAATATACACACGTGTGCAGATTCATTTTGTTGGTATGGGATTAGGCAATAACAAGATATATATTTTCTTTTCTCTATCGAAAAGGCAACATGAGATTAAAAATGCTGGAGGTTATATTACTTTGAAGAATATTAACAACATGTGAAAGAATTTGAAAGTCTGAGAATAGGCAGCTTCTTAAATTTTCCTTTTTGTATTATATAAAAAGAAATGAAATCTTATTTATTGTATATATAAAAAATCGTTAGTACACAATGTCATCGGTTTGAGATAGATAAACAACAACGAAGATACCCCACAAAAATATCTCAAATCTCTGCTGTTTCCAATGTTTTTGTAAGCTTGGAGAATAAAAGAAAGGTAAAACACTGATAATAATGCTAATAGCAATAAATTTACTAAAAAATAAATGAAAAATATACTTAAACTAAATGTATTAAACAAAAAAGCAAAAAGCTAAGGAAGCTAAAAATCAAAAAAATTAGTAAGTAAGCGAAGAAGCACTGAAGGAAGCAATAAACAAAGTGACCGTTTGTGAAGTTGTGTTTGAGTTTGGTTGTGTTGGATTGTGTGCTTGAAATTAATTTGTATTGTCATGGTTTATTTTGTCAGTTCCTTATGCTGTGATTTGTATTTAATTTTTGTTGTGATTTTGTTGTGTGTTTTTTTTTTGTATTTTTGGTGTCTTTCTAATTGCATTGAAGAAAGCAATAAACAAAGAAAATGCAAAAATATGATATATATATATATGCATGAATGTATATATGTATGCATTTGTGTCTGATGTGTGTATGCATGTATGTATGATGTCTGATGTATGTATGCATATACATGTATAAATATGATGTATGCATGTATCTAAATCAATATGTATGTATGTGTATGTATGCATAAATATGTATGTATATATGTATATGCATAAATATTCATGAATGTATGATGATGAATATATGTATGTATGTATGTATGTATGATGTCTGATATATGTATGTATATATGTATGTATGTATGTGAGCATGTTATGTATATATAAATATGATGATGAATGTACGCATAAACAAGTATTTATGCATGTATATATGATTTATATATATATGCATGTATGTATGCATGTATGTATTTATATGCATGAATGCTTGAATATGTAAAGTTTTTGGAGATTCAAGAGATCAACCTTCGAAGGAAGTCAAGCAGAACATTGTCTAAGTATTTGAACAATATATTCACTTCATTTCCGTCGGGAGCATGAATTCGGTCATAAGTACCTCTGTAGAATTTTGTTGGTCTAATGATCGAGATAGGCTTTCCACTTCTGCATGAAAAGAAAAGAGATTATAGTTTCAAATTCTTAAAGCAAAATCAAAGACTATTGAAGACATACATGGGAGGATGATCAAACTTAAGAAGCAATTAGATGGAGATCTAAAGGTTGTCTCTCGTGCATTTTTGATCTGGCAAATAAAGGTACACATTAAGGACATGTTTACTATAGTTCCAAAAAAAAAAACGGACAAGTTTACTGTACATAGATTTAGGACAAGTTTAGACAACAAAATATATTACCTTATTCGATTTGATAGACTTGTCTATTCTGTTTTGAAACATCTTTCTTGTTTGGACCACGCTTCACATGGGTGGAGTATGCGCAATTCAATGACTCGTTCACCTAAAATATATATAAAAAGATACATTATTAGTTCTGAGAATTGGCCTTTAGTAGAACAAGACTTGTCGAATGTCTCTGATCATGCAATCTTTTCAGCAACAAAGTTACATAAACAAGTCCTTGGTGCACCAATGGAAGCACAAGCACGTACCAAATATAACAAAGAATCAGAAGATGCCAGAACTCAAAGAATGATACCTTTTGAGGAATTTTGACTCCGATGCTTTCTTGCTATATATAAGCACACATCCTTCTTACGGAAAATTTCAGAAATGACCTCACTATCACCACCACAGTTTGGAAAACATAGACACCTAAGATGGAACACAGATTAATCATTAATAAAGTAGAAGAAACTTTGACAAAATTTTCAAGTGAATTCACATTTGCAGATTCTACTCTGCGTGAACAACTACTATATTGAAAGAAATCGTGATTACTCTAACTAAATTCTGACATGGAACTCGAAAATTGACTGCAACATAAAAGAATAGCAACAGTTTAGGACCTGTGAAAAGTGAAGATAAGCCAGTGGTGTTGTTTAGTTCTCATCACTGCTGCCACAAGTGGAGTATATTCTCATCTTTAGATTTTCCTTTTACCCTACTGCCAGCTCAAGCCTCACATGTCTGAAAACTGGCATTCGACAGACATCATTTTTTGACTTTATAAAGATACAACGATTTATGAGGAGGAATAAAAGGGAATGGATGACTAACAAGCCTTTGCTTACTAATTCATGTAAAAAACGTTTTTGTTTTTGAGATAGGTAGACTACGAAATTTGCTACTTCCTGCAAAAAAAAAAAAAAAAAAAAAAAAAAAAAAAGAATTTAACTTCAAACTATAAGAGCAAAACCAATGACTAAGCAGAATAAAAAGGAGGACACATGCCTGGAAGGAGGATTAAGCTTCAGAAACAAGAAGATGAAGATGATATTCAAGAGGTGACTCTCAGCCATTTCTTCAGAGCTCCATTGGGTTGGACCTGAGAGAGCAAAATGACGTCTGAGAGGTACCAGATTATATATGTGTTTCTGAGTTGAGAATGCAACAAAAGCTTACAATTTACTATGTAATTTTAAACTGTTGAAGCCAAGATTCGTTTTATTGAATTAGCCTGCAAATTTTTTAATGTTCTTCCACAAGTTTGCTTCTTGCTCCGGATCTTGGCCTTTCTCTAACCTTCATCTCTCATGTTTTCTGAGCTAGGGATTGTGGTGTTTTAAACTGCAAATAACAGAAACGAAATACAAAGGAAGGGATTCATCAATTTACATGTAGATATAGACATATAGTGTACCAGGATGCGTCAATACTCAGACTACAAAATATGAATAGCCTACACATTAGATATCAATAAAATGACAACTTACAGTGGAGTTCTAGCGGTGAATTTGTGGCCAGCCTATGGTCGTTGGTACACTGATATGCAACTCCTTCCAAAAACTCCTGCTCTTTGGCATTAGCTACAAATTTATTAGCCTTTTCTGGTTGATTAGATTGACTTAATAACTTATCTGATTCAGTTCGGAAACTTCTTACTATAAATTAGTAAAGATAGATAGGTTATTCAGGTTTTGTACACACCTTTTCATTGCCAAGATAAGCAAATTACCGGGTTAAGTAACCGATGTATCTCCGGTTCAACGTCTATCAAATGTTTTCACCTAAAAAAAATGATAGATTAATCAAATCGTAAAAGATCAGTTTTGAGGATATTTACGGGTTAAGTAGAGCAGGTACTTGTTGAATGCTTCATGTAAAGGACGAAATTACCTTAATAACAGCACTCATTATATAAGTATGTGCACTTTTCTTTGCCCATCACCGATTGAAGTATCTGCAGTTCAGTCCTTCCACTGTTTTCACCTATAAATGATAGATTAATCAAAAGATAAATTATCAGTTCAGATGATAACTATGCTTTAAGTAGAGTAGGTACTTGTCAAAAGTATGGTATAAATAATTTACCTTAGCTAATTAAATGGGCAAAAAATAGGTTAATTCAATCCCTCTGAACTCCTTGGACATCTTCAACATCAAGATATACGTAGCACTAATGGAAGCACAAGCTAGATACAAAAAAAATCATAATCGTATAGTTTGGTATCTATTATCTAATTAAACAAATATTTCTACACTAAATTTTCAGAATGACCTCACCATCACCACAGTCCAAACACAAGATGAAAAAGATTTTCAAGCTGGATATGGAGATCTCAATTGCAAACAGAAATATAGATGGTGCTAACAGAAATAAAGATGGTGACGGAGTATCGAAAAGGATATTAATATGTGTACGTGGCAAGATCTCTCGAGATGTTCCTCTCCAAATTTCCGCCGGAGAATTGTAGAGTGTGCTTGACCTGTAGAGCAAATGCAAAAAAGGAAGCAAGTAAACATGAATTTATTATAGGCACCACATGCAAACTCATCTGAGGAAAAATAGATGTGAAAGAGTTATCAGAGGATTCACGAGATATGATTTTTTCATGGTGGCAGAGGATTCATGAGGCTCTTGGCTTGGTTGAGAAACGTAATGCAAGTAAACACCTAGATCTCAAACCCTGAAACAATCAAAACGACAAATAAGAGATTTAGATACAAACGAGATGATCTGGTAATAACCTATGGACCTTGATTGTTGTATAACTAAATCCGGTGAAACTGTAGCTCCTCATGCACGACATAAGGTATGCCCATGTCTTTGCCTTGATAGACGCTCATGAGTGCCCATCTGTACTATTTTTCAACCAGTAACCTAGAACTATCTAAAGCAAATTCATATTTTCATGGAAGATAGATTTGATAAATTGAGCTAGACAGATAAGCAAACAAGTAAAGGAAAGGAAGTAAACAAGAAGCTACCAACGAATTAAAGAAGGATATACGGAAGCAAAAATAGCAAGGAAGTTACAAATGAAGAAAGCCATTAAGTACACACAAGGAACCAAGTAAAGAAGCTAGAACTAAGCAAGGAAACATGGAAGTAAATAAAGAAGCAAGAAATCAAGAAGGCAGGAAAGCAAAGAATCAAAGAAGCAAGTTCAGAAAGCAAAAATAAAAACAAATATGAAGGAAGCAAGGAAGTAAACGAAAACTAGCACGCAGGGAACCAAGCAAGTGAATAACAAATCAAGAAATCAGAAGGTAGAACTAAGCAATGAATCATGGAAGCAAACAAAGAAGCAAGAATTCAAGAAGGCAGGAAAGCAAAGAATCAAAGAAGCAAGAGTAGAAAGCAAAAATAAAGCAAATATGAAGGAGGCAAGAAAGTAACAAAAACAAGCACGCAGGGAACCAAGGAAGTGATCAAGAAATCAGAAGCTAGAACTAAGCAATGAATCATGGAAGCAAATAAAGAAGCAAGAAATCAAGACGGCAGGAAAGCAATGAATCAAAGAAGCATGGTCAGAAAACAAAAATAAAAGCAAATATGAAGGAACCAAGGAAGTAACAAAAACAAGGACGCAAGGAACCAAGTAAGTAAACAACAAAATAAGAAATCAAGTAAAGAAGCTAGAACTAAGCAATGAATCACGGAAGTAAATAAAGAAGCAATAATATAAGAAAGCAGGCAATCAAAGCAGCAAGTTAAGAAAGCAAATATGAAGGAAGCAAGGAAGTAAACAAAAACAAACACGC